GCAGTGAACGCGCGCTATAACAGAATCATCGTGGTTGCGAGGGGAGAATTGTTCAAGTTCAACCCTAGCGGCGCGTTGGAGGGAAGTCTCGGCAAGAAAGAAAATACCGGGTTGCAGTACGTCACTTCAGACAGGGACGGGAACATCCTCGTGACGGACGGCAATCTTCCCGGGGTCCGGGTGTACGATCACACCGGGCGGAGTCTACACTCGTTCCGTACCGCCAACGGCGATGGAGGTACCGGTAGCCCTTCTGGCATTTGTATGGACCCCCAGGGTCGCATCATCGTGGCCGACTCGGACGCCTACAGCGGGCGGGTGGACATGTACACGAGCCCCGGGGAGTTTGTCCGTATGGTCGTGAACGTTACAGGCCCGTGGGGCATCGCTTTGGGACCGGGTGGACATTTGGTGGTAACTTACGTCGCTGAAATAATCGTGACAATCTTTCCACCGTGGATGGTATTTCCGGACGAGCATTTTGTGTAGATATTGGCCTGGCGCGTTTCCATTTCGTATAACGGTCGCTGCCACGTTGCCAGGTTAGTTACAAAAGTCAGGCAATCTCATGGACTACTTTAGCCTTTTGGCAATTCAAGAAAAGAAAATTTACTGATCAAATCGTATCAGTTGCTGCCCTGCGAAGTACGACACGACAGATCTATATGCTTGGAATATGTATTGTGGAATGTGTATTGCAAAGGATGCTGGGATGGGTAATGATCCTGCCCTGCCATATCGCTGAATGGTCGATGCCATGTCCTTTTTTGAGGGACAAAAAAAATTTAAAGCGTATGAAAACAACTTTTCAATTGCAAACGTACAATTGCATCGTAAAAAAAGTTATTGGTACAAATAGGCAGAACACAAGATCGGATTCAAACCCGTGTCAAAAAAACACTTCCCTTAAACACGAGTCCTCTACGCCGCGAAACATCACGTAGTTGAAGTGTTTTAATGAATGAAAGACCTTTCTTGTACGTTTACAAGCTAAGTACAGGTCACGAATAAACAGGAGAAAAAATACAGCAATACCTTTAAGCTATACCAAGGACATCTGTGTATAATGTCCTTGACTATACATACTGTTCTAATGTGGTCTAATATTTACAGGTTTACACTTGTTGTTGCCATTGTGTTTGTGCATGTGGTATGTGAAACAGGCCGCGCCCTTTTTGCACATTGTGGTTAATTGATGAAATATAGGAGAATAACACTATTAATGACATGTTATACATGGGACACACATGAGTCCCATACAATACAATAATACATTATAATACAATTTATAATACATTATAATATATGCCTGTTCCTAAGTTTATGACTGCGTGCTGACTCTAAACTGAGTCATCTCTTTACGAATTTCTACTTCGTGAAGGTATATTTCTTGTTCTATGTATATCAAATATTGGTCATCTTTATTGGTGGATAAGATTCAGGTTGAAAAAACAATTGCTGGCGTTACGACAGTGACCGTAAAATGTTTGTTATAGAAGTTGTTTATTGCAAATTCCTGCCCTAGGGCTAATTGCATACAGACATTGACATAAAATTGACAAAAAAAAATGTGGTGATACATGTATAAGACTACTTTGTATTTGCTAACTGGCACTCAATATAACTGACACTCAATGCTTTCACACCCACGCGCCAAATTGGCAATTGTACTACTAATTTATAGCAGCCAGCTGTAACAACATGCAGTAATTGGTATTGTCTACTTGCTCTTGAGAAATAATGAAAGTAAAACTTGAAGTGAATTGATTCATTCATGTGTAGAAATTGGTAATTTTGAGGGTAGGGCGACCCAGGTAGGAAGTTGTGATGACATTGTCACACTTCTGCAGTAAAGCTAGCCTCTACTAGGCTTCGAGAGATTCGTAGCTGAAATAGGCTTGGTAAACAGGCTACTGTTCGGTAGCCTGGTTACCGAAACCTATATAGCTCCCGAGCCCTACATCCTCTCCGCAAATAGAGAGGATGTAGGACTCGGGAGCTATAATAGGTTTGGTATTATAAACCAGGCTAACTGTTCGGGGCTAGTCTCTACCACAGTACCAGGCTTCATGATCAGAAGCAGCTTAAAATTGGCCAAATTGACAGGTAACAAGCGATAGTTGGTCCAGTACATAAAAGCCTAAAACACGCCAAAAAAATATGCCAAAGCCCAAACCTCTGCTTGGAGAGTACTACTTATACTTGTAGTAGCTTTCCACGTTGAATTTGTGTGCGCAGAACACGTACATTTCTGCCCAGTAAACTTTCTAAATTTGAACATCTTAATGAGATAACATCTCAAACAATTACTATAATTGCTCACCTTGTATGTGACTGTAAGGGTAAAATGTCCGGTTTCCGGTCTCTTTGCGAGCTTCGTCCACGCAGCCAGTAAACCGTGACACCGTCAAGTAAAGGATAAGTCCCAAGTTATGAAACAAGAAGGCACACGTTGCATAAGGGTAGATCTTACCGCTTATGCAAAGAAGTGATGCTGGTGATACTGCTAGTACTTCGTGCCAAACCAGTCCAGATGTTTCTGACTGACTGAGAATGACTCAGGGACTTTTTGGCCTTTTATACGATGGACGCACACAGCAGCATATCCCGGATAAAACCGGAATTAAAACATCCTGTCACCTGTACAGGCCTGCACCAGTCACTTCTCAGTTGTGACACAGGACACGTCATTTTTCTCCGAAAAAACATGAATATGTAAATATCACGTCTTTGAAAGGCCAAATTAGCAAATAACCACCCCCCCCCCCCAATCAGTCACTTGTCTCGAACACGTTGGTCGGAGAGCCACGACGGTCTGTTCATCTGAGGCCAGAAGTTACCCTGGATGCCAAACTACTAGTAGTATCGGGTCGTTAACCGTTTTCCTTCGGCAGCCAAACTCCCCCCCCCCCCGGGCTAGTCTCCCCGTAGCGGTAATTTAGCCCCGCGGGCGAAGGGCTCTTGGCTGCCGAAGAAAATTGCGGCCCGAAACGAGTGGGAACGGATAGAACTCATGAACTAGACGATTCTTAACATCTGTTGTGACTTTATAGTAGATTTATTTTCACAAGTTTCTCCTATTTACTTATTCTGTACGTGTCTTGTCTACCTACATCTTGGACATCTGATCGAGGCTAGAAGTCTCCATGACAGGCTCTGTGTAGAGCGTTTAATGTTACTTTATAATAGCCTCTAACAGGCTTCGGGAGACGGCTGGGAAGAGTAGAAATTGCCCATATAGAGAGGTATATAGCCTGGTAGAGGCTAACTTTATAATATTGTCGCTCTCCTAATTCAGCATACGTACTGGACGAAAAGACAGTATGTACTAGTATATGTTCTAAACCACAAACTGCTCGAGAGGCCCGTCACGGTTTTGCCTGGGGATCTTGGAAACCGCGCTCCTGGCGGCCGACCAACCGAAGGGGGGCGGGGTCACTAACCTAGGCTACTTGGAAGTGACTAGGCAAAGTTGACGTCAGATCGAAGCCGCCCCGGCTATATATACAAACCTGACCTAATTTTCTTTGGGGCGAGAACTTTCAGGCTTACCAGAGGGTTTGCTTGGGGGCAAGTCGTTTACGGTAAATAAGAGGGCTGACAACTTTAGTCATGAGTCGCTTTTGTCTTAGATGTCAAAATGTTTTAAAGAGGGAGGCTGCCGCAGTGTCACGCTGGGCATCTGAGTCTAAGCAAGGAGATTAAAAAAGGAAAGGAGAACTGATGAGAGGTATAAAACGTACATCTCCCCAGGTTAGAAATGGACAAGCCCTAATTATTTATAAGCCAGTTCTCAGATAGATGTAGGATAGGCTTAGCCTGGGTACCATCCTGGGTGGGAAGCGACTGTGGGAGCGGACGTAAACTAACCAGGATGGTACCCAGGCTATCACTTTATTTCGGCCAATTTCTACTATTTTTCCAGCGATCCGCGGTGCCTGGTAGAGGCTACCTATAGGCTACTTGTGGTTATTTGTCGCCTGGCAGTAGGCCAGGCAGAAGATGCCCTGTTCAAGATGTAAAATCTTTACTAGACTCCGTAATATATTGTGAGCAGGAAGGCAGTCCGGATGTTGAATACGATATATTCAACGTACGGTAAGGTTACATGTAGTCCGAAAGAACGGAACGGAAGCTTCGTTTTTTTTTCTTTGCCGAAAAAGCCGCAAGGTCTAGTTTACTTTGTTTTCTCCCTCCCCCACCCGTCTGCGGGGTTGAGTCATTTCCCGCCATATCGATCAACACAATAGGTGACGTCATCCAACAAGTTCAAGAGGAGAGGACTACTATTATTTTGGCTCTGGAGGGGGAAGCATTAGCCTCATTCACAGACTTCAAGTTGATGCGGCCGGGCGATAATTTTGTTTCAAAGTTTTTCGGGAGTGGGTTTAATATGCGATTTTACACTTGTATTTTATACTCCCTCCGCGGCAAAACTCCCTCTGTCGTAGCCCGTGAAAAAAAATCGCGTAACGTTTAGATGAGCGCTTCCCCCCATGGCCCAATGAGCGCTCCCCCCAAAAATTGACACCACAACGCCGTCGCACAAGTCTGCGAAGAGCCTTTGAGTTGCCTGGAGTGGTCTACGCGTGTCGAACAACGTAACCAGAGATGGCAGACTTCATCTCATTACCCATACTGCTTTGTCACCAACCTCGAACAAAAACACCTGCACTTGTAATTATATTGTAAGGATGTATACATGTACATTGTATATACGGCAACTTCTGCATGTGTACACACTCAGTTACGTTGGGAATCACACAAACCATATATCGAAGGACGTCGACATCCTATATAATGTCCTTGCAGAAACACATGTGTCACACATACACATGCACACACGCAAACACTCACGCACGCACACACATCCACACGTACACGCATGGCGCACACTCGCACGGGGGCGCTTTTGAAGTCGTCACTCTTCCAATTCTTGCACCGGAAACCCATAACGTCAACCGACAAACCCGGCCGGACCGGAAGTGAAATTGGCCAGTGATATTTATTTATATCTTTACTGTCATCACGTTTGAAATGACACGGTTATGTGCCCATGCCAACAGTGCAAGGATATATAGGAGGGGTCAGGTATATGGGCGGTTATGGGCGTGTGTCACCCACTGCCGGGGCCGTGTTCTAGGAAAAGTCATTGAACTCAGGCGATGATTTTATTTTGTTCTCGAGACGTAGACCATTCTAGATCAAAATATCAAATGTAAAACGGTATTGCTACGTCGAATTGGAGCTTCTTTTAATATTGGGTAACTGGAGTGTACATTTTGTGACATAATGTTATATATGGTTGAAATTTTAATGGAACCATCTTGATTCAAGGTGAAATGAGTGCTGTTGTACAGGAGTGGCAGACCAAATGGAGCCGAGAAAAATACTAGTAACGTTAACAGTTACAATTACTTACATGACACAAGTTGGTGAGACCAAGGAGGTCGTTAAAGTCGGTGAGATCAAAGCATCTCCAAGCCCACGGCTATGTCGGAGTGACGATGTTTCCAGTTTTGCTACCAAATGTGTCTCGTTATTTACTAGTAACTTGATCATAGCTTATCCAATCAAGGAGGTCGGTTCTTCTGTCTTGTCTATATAGTCTCCAAGCAGATGTCTGGCGGCAAAGGCTGAACTGGTCATTTTAGAGAGAGTCTGGCCGGCCGAGGACTCTCTCCAGATGACCAGTTCTAAACCGTAACGTTTTGGCGCCAGACATCTGCTTTGAGACTATTAGACAAGACGTTTAACCTTCAAGTTATCAATAGGGACCAAGGGTTAACGTTAACGTTAATCTCAAGTCGTCATCTCGAAGTTTATAAATTAAGTGCTAACGTTACATGTACAAAGATAGTCAAGGGCTTAATTTCATAGTGTACATAAGCTATAAAACTGATTACCAGCTAATGTGTTAAAACTTTGCACGTGGCTGATAGTAAAACATTTGTTTATCGTCCAAAATAATTTCCCATCATCCCGTCCGGCGGAGCCGGTGTCACGTGACTGGTGAGCCATATTGGATCCTGCCTGAGCGAAAATGGCATCTGCCGAGCCCGTGCCGCAACCACAGGTGAGATTTTCTCCGTTTTTTCCCCTCAGTATCTCCCCAAATTCGCTCAAAATCTCCAGTTAACAGTCTCAGTCGCCTAATTCCGCAATTTGTGTGCGTAGGGAGGTGGTTTCATTGAAATTTCGCTTGAAAATATGTTGGGCAGGGAGTAACTTTTTATATGACCTCCATCTTGAACCAAGGCTGGTTTCTGCAGTATGGTAAGCATTTTTCAGCCGGTCGGAGTACAAATTCCACCATCTCTCTCCTCTAGATGTAGTACCCATAGCAAGATAGGCAAGTTTGTGCCAGTTACAGGTCACAGTTTTGACGCAAAGGATGCATAGGTGGTATATTTTACTCACCGGCCGAAGCCCGGCATATTTTTCGATAGATCCCCCTCGTGAATGCCATGTGGGTTTTTCCAACATGGCCGAAACTAGATAATTTCGAATTTTAGCAACGTTTCAGTTTTCTGCATACCGTGACATCTGGCTTGCAGTGCCCGCAAGAGGCTTTTTAGTTCTTGGCAAAGCTGTGTGGAGACCGCACGTAGATGTTACTAGAAGCCGCGCGAAAAATGGATACGAGAAAGTATCGCCATTTGTGGAAGGGGGAGGGGGGGCGTGAGATATACGTGTGTGCCATATGCTTATGAGAGTGACACATTGATTATGCATGGTTTTCCTAAGTAATGAGCTTTTGGGACATGTACACTTGCCAACGGATTTATGTTGTACATAGAACCCTTATGAACAGCTCCTAACTGTGACAAAGATTCATTTGTAGAAACTCTTTATGGAGGCCTGTTTTGCAATGAAATAGAGATTTTTTGGCCAGCAATCAAAAGAGAACTAGAAGAGGATAATTAGATTTATTAAAGCTAGGTCATATACCCAGGTACCTTGATACTACCTAAGTCATTTTGTTAAATTTTTGTTTAAAAGAAAACAATCAATCTTTCTCTGATAATTTGCTATCATCTTATATTTATGATCTTTCCAAACCTTTGCTGGTTAGTGGCAGATTTCAAGATGAATTTAGCATGGTACAAATTCATTAAGAATTGAAGTTTTGCACTTTGATATCTAGCAATACATGATTTTTATATTGTCTGTCATTATTTAAAAACAGCACTCTAATTCTTTCTGG